ATCAGGTCCAAGACCAATTTAATCTGGAAGTGATTTAATGTTAATTCCAGCAGCATCGGTAAAAGCACCACCAAAACCAATAATTTGTTGATACGTTTCGTTAACATTTATTGAAAGTTTGATGGAATCAGCTGTAACTGTATTAAGAGTCTTAGGATCTAATGTATCTTTATGGAATCGATGCTCATCTTTATCAGATACATAAGAGTAAATCAACCCTTTTGGTGGATTAGTCACTGGTTCAAATGAATCACATTCAAGTTCATTGCAAACACAAACGAAAGAATCTTCTTTGAATTTTCTTTTGTGGCAACCATCAGTTTTGATTGTATTGATGAAAAGTAACAAAACGATTGTACAAGCAAGTAATTTATCCATGGTTTAACTCGGCGAAATCGAAGTCTATTAATATCTTGAATCTGAAAAAGTTCCAACAATTTATACCTAAATCACTGACTTAATCTCTTAATGATTGATCTTTAATTGGTCTGACAAATGGTGAGTACAAATAAACAGTGTGATAAGAATTGAAATTAACTGGAACTCAAATTGTGATAGTCAAGCAATAATAATATTATCAAGAAATCAAAGGATCATCGATAAAGTAAACTAGGTTATTAACAATTTTCTGTTCAGTGCAAATAATTTTATAATGATCAATTTAGCACTAAATGAATTTTTATTAGTAAATTTCCATGAAAATTAACGCCTCAAAGAGTTGTCGATCAGTTTGTACTAAAAATTTGATAAATACAATGGAATTCCCATGTTTCAAAATTAAAATGAATTTTCCCGATTTTTTTGTACTGTCCTTACGAAAAAATGGCAATTTTGTAAATCTCGAACTTTGAGGTCACATAGCGTTGTTAATAATGAAAAGTTTTTCAAAGTCATTCCATTGAATTATAGTAATTGGGTTGATAAAAATTACTTTTCTCAATTTTTATCCTGATCTCCAAGTTTTCGAGAAATGTTCGATTAAAAAAGTTTCTATCGCGAGAAAATCACAGTAAAGAACCTTAGTTTTTAGAAATTTTTGAGCCGCACGAAATTTCATTTTTTTGATTTTTTCCCAATAAATTTCGAATTAGAAAACGGAGAATCATAAATCATGCGTCAAAAAAATTCTGCATCCTTCTTCAAATGATTTTCAAAAGATTTGTTTTAATTGATGCGATTAGCAATAAAATATTCACATTCAAAGTCCCGACACATTGAGCCGGACAACCGCATATAAAAAGAAAGAGAAATGAAAGAGAAAAAGAGAGTAAATAAATTGAAAAGAAAGTAAAAAGAAAGAGTCACTTTATTGCCATCTTCTGGCACCAGAAAAAAATTCACCGTTGAATTGCACACTCTTCTCCTTTACTCTTTGGTTGTGTCTATTGCAATGAGTTAAGTTTATTTTGAAAAACATTGCATTTTGAGCCTTAGAGATTGTTAAATCTATTTATGAATTTGAGCTGTATCCATCTCAAGATCAACAACTAAGACAGATGATTTAGGTCTAATCACCACGATTTAAATACGCTGTTCAATGGAGTCAAGATTTGTTGCTCTCTTTCTTGGAACCATATCAAACTATTACTAGGTCAGACGATCGATCGTCAATATCGGAGCGTGCAGCAATAGAATGCAGTGAACATTCTTATTTCAGCAGAAAATTTTTTCGATTTTTATATTAATTACAATCAAAGAAATGATTTGAATAACTAATGGAATATTCAATGCAAGAATTTTGCTTATGAGAGTTGAATAAGAGCATTCGCAAGATGTTTCTCATGAAACACAGAAATTTTAGTCAAGGGGTTTTACTCTTTCGTATATTGCTTTGATTCTTTTTCAAAGACATTATTCAAACATGAACGCTCTCACTCATTTATCAAAAATTGGTTAATCTTCATTAATTTCAACAAAATTTTGTGATCTACCTTCAAATTCTTGCTGCCTGTTAATATAATTCATGATTGCTGAGGTTTTCTTGCGTTCTAACCTTCGTCCATCTTTGCATATGACATATCTATGTGCGCAGAACACATAATAAATGTGTTTCAAATGTGTTGTAAATAACATTGTTTCATGTTAAATATGATGAGTTGCGTTGTTAAATAAAGAAAACTGTTTTTCTAATGTCCTACAAGGGTAGGCATTGCAAAGATATCTGTTGCTTTAACTTGTTTCGAGACGCAGAAAGATTTAGTTTTTTAGTGAGTAGTTTTTTAGTGGAGGACATTGCTAGTATTTCTAGCTATATTTCGATTATAATTGATGATAAAATGATGGATCTTTCATGTAGATATCCAAAAGCATTGAGAATGTTCAAATGAACTCTAAACGTCAAAGGTCGAATTTCCGGAAAATGAACTGCGATGGTCTAAATTTTTGTTCCAATTCTTCAAAATGACCTAAAACGACCATCTTGCTAATATCAAATTCGAAAACAGAACTATTCGTGAAATAAACGTAAATTGCTCTTTCATGAGTTTGTGACTTTTTGCATGTTTTGAGTCATATTTCGATAACTAATAGTGATATAATAATGCACCTGCATGAAAGCAATGAAAAACTGTCGAAAAATGATAAATGACCTTCAAATGACCTCTAAAGGCCACAGGTCAAAATCCCGACAAATGACCTCCGATGACCTTGGATTTCACTTCAGTTCTTCAAATTGATTCAATATGCTCTAATATTAAGTTTGATGAAATTTACTCAAGCCGTTACCGAGATTTTTTGAGGACAAAAAAGTTGAAAGTGAATTTGAGTTTACGGTAGTGCGAGTTAAAATCTCCACTTCGTTTCACTACGCTCCGATAAAAATCTTGATTGTAACTTGAAATATAAATATAAGAATTATTCTGATTGAGATAATTAAATACAGTGATAAGTTATAATTATGGCCTCCACAAAGCTTGATATTAACCTAGTTGACTTAGCCAATGATCCTTTGATTCCACGATAGTATTATTTTATTGCCTGACTATGACAATTTGAATGTCAGTGAATTTCCAGTCAATTCTTATCTCATTGTTTGTGAGATCAATCATTATGAGATTAAGTAAGTCATTTAGGTATAAATTGCTGGAACTTTTTCAAATTCGAGGTATTAATTGACTTCGATTTCGCCGAGTTAAACCATGGATAAATTACTTGCTTGTACAATCGTTTTGTTACTTTTCATCAATACAATCAAAACTGATGGTTGCCACAAAAGAAAATTCAAAGAAGATTCTTTCGTTTGTGTTTGCAATGAACTTGAATGTGATTCATTTGAACCAGTGACTAATCCACCAAAAGGGTTGATTTACTCTTATGTATCTGATAAAGATGAGCATCGATTCCATAAAGATACATTAGATCCCAAGACTCTTAATACAGTTACAGCTGATTCCATCAAACTTTCAATAAATGTTAACGAAACGTATCAACAAATTATTGGTTTTGGTGGTGCTTTTACCGATGCTGCTGGAATTAACATTAAATCACTTCCAGATAAATTGGTCTTGGACCTGATTCGTGATTATTTTGGTAAAGATGGATTGGAGTATAACATGGGTCGAGTAACAATTGGTGGAGCTGATTTTTCACCTCGCCCTTACACTCATCAAGATGATTACCAAGATTTGAACTGGACTCATTTTGCACTGGCTGAGGAGGATTTAGAATACAAGGTAAATTATTATGCCGTAAATGACGATAATCCACTTCTGACACTCAATTTTTTCAATATCTTTCCATTATTTACACCTTAACAACAGATTCCTTATATTAAATTAGCAAATGATTTTTCTGGAGGCTTGAAATTATTTGGCAGTATGTGGTCACCTCCAGCTTGGATGAAATATCAACAAAGGATAAATGGTACAGGAATCTTGATTGGTGATCCAGGAGAAGTTTATTACAAAGCAATGGCCAGTTATATGGTAAAGTATGTATTACTTGTCACTCTTAAATTTTGAGATAGATTAATAGTTACTCTTATACTACAGTTAGCAATTACTTTATTTTCAAGTTTTCACATCCCTTCTCGGAAATCTTCTTCCATTATCCTTTTATCCCTTTTGATGCTACACTTTATTCATTCAATTTTTTTTATATTGATTATTGATATTAACCATCTGAATATTTTCTTACTCTACAGATTTCTAGACGAATATAAGAAACATGGAGTCGAATTTTGGGGAATAACTACTTTGAACGAACCAAGTGCTGGTTTCAAACCTGATTACCCTTTCAACTGTCTTGGAATATCTCCTGAACAAATGACTAAATGGATAGCTAAAGATCTTGGCCCAATCCTCAAAGCTGCTGGTTATGGCAAGGATAAGCTTAAATTATTGATACTTGATGACAATGTATCATTGCTATTTCTTTATGCATCGAGAGTGTTTAGTAACTACGAAGCATCACAATATGTTTCTGGTGTTGCTGTTCACTGGTATGAGAATAAGCTGTTTGGTTTCGATCAGTTCGACAAAACTCATCAATTTTTCCCTGATTATTTCATGCTATCGACTGAAGCATGTACTGGTTTGGGCTATGATGGCATAGCAGGTAATAAATGATTTTAGTTCTGTCTAACCAATATAACATTGTAATTCGAACAAAACAAAATATCTTTTTCTAACTTTTTTTTCCAATCCGCAGTGAAATTAGGTTTATGGAGCAGAGGTGAAGAATATGCAAATGATTTGGTTGGAAATATGAATCATTGGAGTTCAGGTTGGGTGGATTGGAATCTTGCTCTCAACACGATTGGTGGACCTAATTGGGTATCTATGTTTGTCGATTCTCCGATAATTGTGAACGCTGAAAAACAAGAATATTATAAGCAACCGATGTACTATGCACTGGCTCATTTCAGTAAATTTTTGAAACCAGGATCAACCCGATTAGGTTTTAAAGTTACTAATCCAGATGATAATGTTAGAACGACTGTATTTAAAACTGATCAAAATCAACTTGTTGTTATTACTGTAAACAGTAATGATTATGCTGCCAACTTGACTATTGAAGGATTTGCCGAAAATGTCGTTGGTTTAACTCTCGGACCCCATTCATTCCGAACACTTGTCATTAACAAAAGTTGATTAAACAAAGTCCATACGGGTATTTGCATGTAATAGGACTTTAAAGTTGTTGGATTTCAATAAGACAGTATAAAATAAATGCTCAAAATGCTAACAAGACTCAATTATTCATCACTATTATTATACTTCGATACAATGTCACATCTGAACATTGTGCAGTCACTTCCGGATGAATGAATTATACCTATTATCTACAAAAATGAAGTGATACTATTTGAAGTTGATATTGTCAAAAGAGTTCATATATGGCAATGTCTTTTAACCCTCCTTTGCTACTCTTAAAAAAAGTTACTTATGCACTACACTGGTGACAAAAATGGTTAGGGTAATAAAGCAAAAACTTGTGAACTTGAAAGGGTGACCCTGACCCAAAGAGTAAAGGAAGAAGAGACTTCCTTTACTCTTTGCCCTGACCTTTACTAGGCAAAATTTTATAATTATAATTTTTATGGCTTTACAGTTTTTCTAGTCCTTATTCGAGTTTTGTCCTTTTCTTTTTTGTCTCTTTTCATTAACAAGCTTTGTTTTTTCAATCTTGGTCCAAATTTTTAAGCTTTTCAAACTTTTTTTAGTTGCAAAAAATTCAAATTTTCAGTGTTCATGTAGTTTTTTCGTGCTGATATAAAACATATCAATCAAGTAACAATCAATTAATTATAAAATAGTTGATAATTCATATTCATATTTGAGTCCAATTGGATTACAGTCAAGCCTAGTGTTGCACTGATATTATCGATACGAGTAATAGTATTGATATTTCACTCAACAATACGCATCGATATTTTGAAAAATAGTATCGATATTTTCGATATTTTCTGTTGGTTGTAAGTTCAAATAAAGAGAGGTTTATGTTTGCCTTTGTTTGAGTGAAATCACCATTTTTTCCTGAATCAAGCAAAGGATTTGTAGAATCCTGTTAATTTTTTCGTCTACAATCAACAAGATGTTATTCTTAAATGAAACAATCAAAATTAATCTTTTGACTTACATTGAACAACATTCAAAAACCAAGTCTTCCAAAAGTTTGCTTGAAAAAGCTTATTACCTACTATACAATGTAAGTTAATCAAAATTTTGTGTTCCATTTTTAACGAAACTTTCTGCCGATTTCAGATGACTAAAAGAAGTTCTGTTTGGTCACACTTTTAAGGGAAAAAAGATGGTGACCCAAGGCTTAAATTATGTCGAACTTCGCTCAAATCAACTACTAATGCATCCTAGTTAATGAAACACATCAAAACTCACCATAAAAGTGTGAATTTAACCATAAATGATCAACAAAAAGAGTCAACTGAAAATGATTGTCAACGTATTGATGCCTTTATATCTTCTGTTGAATCAATGCAAAGTAAGTAAAATAGTAATCATAATAAGTTTTAAAATTATTAGTGTTTTTAAGCTTAAATGTTCAATTTTTTGCCTTTGAATTTAGTCCAGAGACAACATGACTTTGACTTGAAATACTTAACATAAAAATTAATCAATATATCGTTAGAAAGAGGAAATTAAATGATTTTTAACAATATAATATTAAGACTTGTAGATCAACTGTGTCTTGACTTACGTCAAGTTGAAATATTTAAATCACTCTTTCGATTGAAGTTTACTTGAAAAAGATCATGTTACTGCTCGATAATAAGAAAACTTAGATAAATTATAATTGAATAGGTGAATTACTCATAGAATGTAAATACAAATTAAGTATAAAGATTATTTTTCAAAATTTTCATTGAAAATCATGATGACACTGAAAATATTCGTGTTACATGAAATCTACGGGAAAAAATTGTTGCTACCTTAGAGCTCGAAAATACTTGAAGTAAAAATGCTGTTTTATACATCAAATGAAAGCGTTTTGAATGCTCGACCCAAAACTATATCAACCATATCTGTCAGATTTTTCTCTCTGAAAAAAGTCAGGGTCGCCAGGATGACATTACCTTATATTCAATATATAATAAAGGCTATGAAAATTTTTTTGTTGACTTGCAGCTCAGTGGTTATTGATGTACCAATGTTTTATACACCAAATGAAAGCTTATTAGATGCTTGGGCCAAACTTGTATGAAGCATGTTTGTCCGATTTTCGGTTCTGAAAAAGTCATGGGTCGCCAGGATGACTTTTACCATTTTAATGGCTATCGCAAAATATTGACTTTCAATATTGATTATTAAGTTAATCAAATTGAAATATTGACTAATTTTTCTAATTTATTATATTTATCTTTTCAGGTGGGGGCTTATCAGACAATTTTGACCAGGAAATAGCTTGGTGGGTTATTTGGAACAGTTTACCATTTCGAGTTGTTGAACAAAAAGGGTTTAAAGATATAGTAAAAACGCTCAATAATAATTATTCATCACCTTCAAGGAACAAATTGGAAAACATTATTTGTAAATTATATGAAGTTAAATCAAATCAAATGAGGACTTTTTTAGACGATGTAAAATGGTTGGCATTAACTGCTGATGGATGGAAAGATATCAAAAATCAAATATCTTACGTTGGAGTAACTCTTCATTTCATTGATAATTACCAAATGATGAGTATATGTATCAAGGCAAACCAATTTACCGGAGAAGCAACTGCTGAAAGGATTGAGAGTGTGATCAGACAAACTTGTGATGAATTTGCTATTGATATTGCTCGAGTTGTTTCAATTACAACTGATGCTGGAGCAAATTACAAAAAAGCAGGCAAAAATATTGCTGCTCATATTCATTGTGTTGCTCATTGTATGAATCGCGTTGTGGAAGATGGATTGGAAAACAGTCTTTTGTTATCTGATACAGTTGAGAATGTTCGTAATATTGTAACAGCTTTCAAGCAAAGTTCAATATTAATGGATAGTCTTCGGAATCATCGACTGAATAATGAGGATGAGCCTTTGAAATTGATTCTAAGATGTTGTTACTCGTTGAAACTCAACTTATTTAATGATACATGATCAGATCCAACTGCTGGAATGCACAATGGGTTGAAACATTTCCTAGAATCTGAAATTATCGTTATTCCTCGAAATGAAAATCCTTTGAAGTTTTGGCAGTCAAACAAAGGCAACCCCATAATCTTGCGATTAAACATCTTACAGTTCAAGCTAAATCTGTTCCAGCCAAACGATTGATTTCAAAAACAGGTTCAATCATCACTGATAAGAGAAGCCGAATCAAGCCAAAAAATGTAAATGTATTAACCTTCTTAGGTTCAATTCCCGAGAGCCTCATTTGAACTTTAAATTTGTATACTGAATTTACAATATTGAACTGACAAAATAATATTAATAATATTCCCAATACTTTTGATATTTCAATATTTTCAATACATCAATACTTGATCAACCAATACCAATACTATCAATCATTACTTTACCAAAGTATTGTGCATCTAGGCAAGCCTCTCAAAGTTAGTCGTTGCCTAGACACCAGAGTAGACAATTGTCCATTCAATTCAATTTCCCTCTTATTAATGAAGCTTCAACATGCCTCGTCGTAATTTGAATTATAGTGAAAAATAGAGCTTTGATGGCCAAAGATCAGAATCTGTATTCTGAACAGATTGCCTTGAAGTTCAAATCTGTAAATCAATGGTACATAATATAATTAATAACAAATCAAAGGTAAAAAGTGCCATTGAGAAAAACAAAGGACGGTCAAAAAGGTTAGTCATAATGTATCAATAAGAGTTCGAATTTGATCAAATTATTTCCTTTTTTAGGATCGTTGAATCAGTAAATTTTTTTTGATGAAAAAATTGTTAATTATATTCAATCAATGCAAAATGTTGAATTTCCAATTACAGCTTGATGATAGCGGCTCGACTGGCAAATGAATATCAAGTCAATATTGTAGCTTCAAGAGGATGGTTTCATCTATTCAAATCAAGTGTAAAGTTAACATGAAAATTACATGAGGAATCACAGTGCTCATCTGCTGATGTGAAAGTTTCCTAAATATGATATAGAAAATAATGATAAATATGACGAATATGATCTACATTTG